GGCATCACAGCTCACAGCAACTTCCAACTCCTGGGCTCAAGCGAGTCTCCTGCCTCAGCCTCCCAAGTAGCTGGGACCATAGGCGCCCGGCTATTTTTTGGTTGCAGCCGTCATTGTTACTTGGTGGGCCCGCGATGGATTCGAACCTGCCGCCTTAGGTGTATGTGGCTGGCGCCTTAGCCACTTGAGCCACAGGCACCGAGCCAGAAAAAAATATTTTATTTGCAAAGTACATATCTGATAAAGGACTTGTATTCCCTTTCCTTAATCCAGTAATTAATTATGTAATTATTTGTTCATCATTACCTCTGCTACCGTGTTTCCCTGAAAATAACACCTACCCAAAAAGTAAGCCCTAGCAGATTTCTTTTCTTTTTTCTTTTCTGAGACAGAGTTTCACTTATTAACCCTCAGTAGAGTACTGTAGTGTCACAGCTCACAGCAACCTCCAACTCCTTGGGCTAAGACAATTCTCTTGCCTCAGCCTCCCAAGTAGCTGGGACTACAGGTGCCCGCTACAATGCCCGGCTATTTTTTTGTTGCAGCTTGGCAGGGGCTAGGTTTGAACCCACCACCCTTGGTATATGGGGCCTGTGCCCTACCCACTGAGCCACAGGCACTGCCCCCTAGCAGGATTTCTATGCATTTGTTAAATATAAGCCCTACCCAGATAATAAGACCTAATGATGGGCATGGCTATGCAGTGTATCTGCATTTCACAGGGAGAAGATGACATCCCCTGAAAATAAGCCCTAGTGTGTCTTCCTGAGAAAAAATAAATATAAGGGAGGTGCCTGTGGCTCAAAAGGGTAGGGCGCTGGCCCCATATGCCAGAGGTGGTAGGTTCAAACCCAGTTACGGCCAAAAAAAAAGAAAAAAATATATATGACAGTGTCTTATTTGGGGAGAAACATGGTAGTCTGTGCACTCCCAAGGCTCAAGTTTTGTTCATCTTGTTCACTGCTGTAACCAAGGGCCTGAGCAGACAGTTGGTGCTTAATAAATGGACCCTAGTCTGTATCACCCTATCACAGCTTGTGCTGGAGCTACACAGTGGAAACAGGCTTGAAGGAGGAGTGCTCACCATAGACGGACATCCACCTTCCAGGGCTGGCTCCCAGGCTGACCCGCATTCCTTGAGGCCTCTCTCTGCCTGGAGTTTCTTTCACTAGTTCCAGAAAAGGTTGGAAAAGAACATCTGCAGAGGCTTTTGCTTCCCTAGTATCCTGTCATTCTGTGTTGACAGGACACCAGACCTGAGCAGAGGAAATTTAAGGTGCGCCTGAGGGTACTTCTTAAAAACATCGTGTAGGTAAATGTGCATCTTTGCCTCTGCATATTAAGTGTTTACTCTATCAGGCCATGGGCTAAAGGCTTTATGTACATTACTGCATTTAATCCAGCAAATTTATGAGGTAGTGACTATCATTACATAAAACTTCTAGAAGAAAACATAAATTCTTTATGACTTTAAGCAAAGAGTTCTTGGAGTCTTAGATAAAACACCAAGTGCATGATCCATAAAAGAAACAATTGATGAACTGGATTTTATCAAAATTAAGAACTTTGGCTCTGTGCCTGTGGTTCAAGTGGCTAAGGCGCCAGCCACGTACACCCAAGGTGGTGGGTTTGAATCCAGCCCGGCCTGCCAAACAACAAAGACGGCTGCAACCGAAAAAAAAAAAATACCCAGGCATTGTGGCGGGCGCCTGTGGTCCCAGCTACTGGAGAAACTGAGGCAAGAGACTCGCTTGAGCCTAGGAGTTGAAGGTTGCTGTGAGCTGTGATGCCATGGCACTCTACCCAAGGAGACAGCTTGAGGCTCCTGTCTCAAAAAAAAAAAAAAAATTAAGAACTTTGCTTTTTTTTTTTCTTTTGAGACTGCGTCTCAAGCTGTCACCCTGGGTAGAGTGCTGTGGCAGCATCATAGCTCACAGCAATCTCCAACTTGGGCTCATGAGATCTTCTTGCCTCAGTTTTTCTTTTTTTTTTTTGTTTTTGTTTGTTTTGTTTTGTTTGAAACAGAGTCTCCCTATGTCGCCCTCAGTAGAGTGCTTTGGGGTCACAGCTCACAGCAACCTCAAACTCTTGGTCTTAAGCGATTCTTTTGCCTCAGCCTCCTGAGTAGCTGGGACTACAGGCACCAGCCACAATGCCCAACTATTTTTAGAGAGAAGGTTTCGCTCTGGCTCAGGCTTGTCTCGAACCTGTGAGCTCAGGCAATCCACCCACCTTGGCCTCCCAGAGAATGCTAGAATCACAGGCATGAGCCACCACGCCTGGTCCCCCTAATTTTTTTTGAGACAGTGTCTCCCTCTGTTACCCAGGCTAGAGTGCAATGGCTTACTGCAACCACAAACTCCTAGGCTCAAGTGATCCACTTGCCTCAGCCTTCTGAGTAGCTGGGACCACAGGTACATAACATTATACTCACCTAATTTTTTTATTTTTTGTAGCGACAGAGTCTCACTATTGCCCAGGTTGGTCTTAAGCTCCTTGCCTCAAACAATCCTTCTGCCTCAGCCTCTCATAGTGCTAGGATCACAGCCATGAGCCATTGCAGCTGGCCCCTAATTATTATTATTATTTTTTTTTTATGGAGACAAAATCTTACTTGGTCGCCCAGGCTAGAGTGCCATGGTATCAGCCTAGCTCACAGCAACCTCAAACTCCAGGTTTAAGCAATCCTCCTCCCTCAGCCTCCTGAGTATCTGGGACTACAGGTGTCTACCACAATACCTGTCTAACTTTTCTATTTTTAATAGAGATGGGGGTCTCACTTTTGCTCAGGCTGGTGTAGAACTCCTGAGGTCAAGGGATCCACCCACCTTGGCCTCCCAGAGTGCTAGGATTACAGGTGTGAGCCACCTTACCCAGCCCTTATTTTTTTTTTAAATGTAGGGGGGAAATGTGCAAGTGTGATGGGCTGTAGATCAGTAATAGTCATTCATTTATTCACTTACCACATATTTATTTAAAGCCCACCCTGCCTTATTTAGGCTTTGTGCCAGTTATAAAAGAATAGAGCATGGGACGGCACCTGTGACTCAAGGAGTAGGGCACCAGCCCCATGTACCAGAGGTGGCAGATTCAAACCTGGCCTCTGCCAAAAACTGCAAAAAAAAAAAAAAAAAAAAAGAATAGAGCTGAAGAGTTCAGACTATCCCTAAACCTCTACCACTAAGATTTGATTATATTAATGAATTAAATCTCAGAAAACAGCCTGGACAATATAGTGAGATCCAGTCTGTATAAAAAATTAAAAAATTAGCTGGATGGTAGTCCCAGCTACAGCCTGGGAGGCTGAGGTAGGAGGATCACTTGAGGCCAGCAGTTTGAGGCTGCAGTGGGCTGTGATTGGGCCATTCCACTCCAGACTCAGTTAAAGAGTAAGATCCTGTCCGTAAAAAATAAATAAATAGGGGTGGCGCCTGTGGCTCAAAAGGGTAGGGCGCTGGTCCCATATGCTGGAGGTGGTGGGTTCAAACCCAGCCCCAGCCAAAAACTGCAAAAAAATAAATAAATAAATAAATAGATAAATAAATAACAAAGAATGGTGTCTGGGATCCTTAGTTTCAAATTCAGATATTTTGGGTGGATAGATGAGAATCCTGGCTCCCTCATACACTCACTGTGTGACTTTGGGCAAATGTCTTCCCCTCTCTGAGCCTGCTTCCTTGTGTGAAAAATGGAAATAAGCATAATACCTATTGCTGAAGATTTTCAGGAATAAATGAGAGAAAACACAAAAATGCTCTTAGAATGGTGCCCACTATAAAGAATGTGCTCTGTAAGTGTTTATTAATCTAACCACTATGGTTGGTTTTCAAGGTAGGTATGTATTGACAAAGATTTTTTGGCCAAACTTTG